ACAAACACATACACATACACTTACGTATTACCTACTTACTTACTTACTTACTTAGTTGTGTCTGCGGGCGAAGAGTCGCGAACTAGTCTGAGGAGCAGAGACCATGAGAAAAGCTGGATAAGTCCATGGGTAGTTCTCTAAATTGGGTCCCTCTTGGGCTCCAGAAATATTTCGGCACCCGCGCAAAACGGATCCCAAAATGGACCCTGGTTTAGAGAACTACACGTCATGAAGGCCGGGGGTTTCAAGCAGCTTGAGCAGAAGGGGGCTTCCTGCTTCGCACAATGACTTTTGCTAACTCATTGCTGCAGTTGAACCTTAATCCTGCTCTAAATGGGAGTTTCAGAAAATTAGGGGTACCTTATTTGGGATCCTCATAATTTGGGATCCTTCTAATAAGGATCCTACTATCTAGGGTACTATATTAGGGTCCCCTATGTTCGTAAACTCCCAAATATCAAAGCCCCGAGCCCTGTTGCAGATCCTTTATAGAACCCTTTAAAGGCAGCCCTCAACCCTAAACCCATCAAAAAAGGGGCCCTCACCCTGTAATAGTGGTATAATAGGAATATAATAGGGCCCTAATATAATCCTTATAGTCACTATTAGGAGGGTGGGGACAGCTTCTAACCTACACCCATCAAAAAAAGGGCCCCAAAGGTACTTAAAGGATCATGGGACTTAGTAACTAGGGTTATAATTAGGGTAACTATACTTATAACCCCAATTAAGGTATTTATAACCTCACTTACGAAGTCCCATGATCCTCCAAGTACATCAGAAGCCTGAGGCTTCGTGCCAAGCGAAGCTTCTGAGATCTTCGGGGCGATGGGGCTTGGGGATCAGGGTTTAAGGTCTAAAATGCTGGCATTTAGGGTTTAGGGGTTTAGGGGTTTGGAGTTCATGGTTTAGGATCTAAATGCTGGTTTTTCGAACCTATGGCAGTAGGGCTGACGGACTTCCGGGTTGAATGATTAGGATGCAGCGAACAGATCAGAGAGTAATGCATTTTGGGGGCGCGGCGTGCATGGTTCTGGGTCATTAAGATGGTCAGACGAACACCGAAAACTCCACAAAGCACACTGGAGCATGGCCAGCAAAGCGCCAAACGCGGGTTTACTTCCAAAGAGACCCGACAAAATAATTGAAGATACACCGCAAATTCACCCATGGCAATACCGCCCAAGACTCCAAACCCTAAACCCCCGTAAACCCTAAACCCTAATTGACCCCCAAACCCTAAACCCCAGCAAACGTTAAAACCTGAACTCGCAAACCCCAAAGCCCGGCCCCAGGGCCCCAAAAACGAAACTCCAAACCCCAGAAACCCGAAGCCAAAAGAGCCTAAGCTATCAAACCCCAACACCTAAGAAGCCCAAATACGAAAACCTTAACTTAATATAGGGGCCTCGATAACTAGAATGGGGTTTTGGGGCCCGTTATATTAGAATTATGATCGGGAACCCCCCAAACAGTATAGGTAATTGTTTAAGCCCCCATATTATACCTTAAACGGGCGAGGTAGACCTGGGTGAAGATGCCCCTCTCTTCCGCCCAGCGCAGCTTTTTCACCAAATAGGGCCAATCCTCTCGCTGGCGGATGGAAGGCTCAATAGCTTGGGGTAACATCCTTAAACCCTAAACCCTAAAAGCCCTAAACCCATTATGAGCTCATGAGCTGCAGCCCAACGAGAACTGTGCACATCCCTGAACAGCTACAGCGATGGATTTGACTCTGATACATCAGCATCTCACCTTAAACCCGAAACCCTTCATGCAAGAACTCGAAATGCAGCTTGACAAGCACATGTGTGATCCGAATGTTGCAGAGAGTGACTCACATAGGTGCCTAAACAGTTATCAATACTATTCTAAGGGCTTCTACTTACATTTATGGTATACAAGGGACCCAAAACCCTACTCTAAGTGTTGATGCCAACACAACACCTTGTGTGTCAGATTTTTTAAATTCGTTGCTGAGGTCCAAAGCTTGTGGCAAGTGCATATCAGCACGTAAAAACACCCCACGGTCAGAGTTAAAGTATCTTTAACCCTAGGGCTCCAGTTGCCTAAACAGTAGGTTAATGTGTATACTGGGGAGCTTTGGACTTTCAACTCTTCACATGTAGCTTCCGACTGTAGAATTCATCCTTCTTGATGCATGAAGCTTGTTTTTAACATTTCTAGATGCAAACACTTTGCATGTTGTGCCCAGCACCCCAGCACAAGCCCAGCTCCTTGGGGAGGTCCCGAAGAATATCCGCAAAGAAACGGTCCTGCGTTGGGCTCAGGTCTCTTGTTGCATTCGGGATTCGGATCCACGGCAACCCACTATGATCAGTTATGCTTCGGAGGGCTCGGTACCGAAACCCCCTGTCCTGAGGTTTAGGGTTTAGGTTTAGGGTTTGGAGCAATACTAAGGAACCTGATTAAGAAACCTTGGGCCTTTATTAGGGTTCCTTTTATGAATCCTACTATTTTGGCGTTATGGGCCCAGGGTTTCTTATAACCAGGCTCCCACATTACAGGGTTTCAGGGTTTAGGAAGGTTTGGCATTCATGGTATGAAAAGTTCTGGTGCTCTGCAGGCTCATGTAGAGATGCTGCAGTCAGACAGGAAGCATTGACTCTCACAGTTTGGGGGGTTTAGGCTTTTGGGCTTACGGGTTTGGGGTTTAGGGTTTACCATTCCCTAAGGCTCCGAACACCTTAAATAGCAGGCTGCTGGCCTACTGACACATGAACATACTGCTGGAAACTTAAATACCAGAACACTTTCAGGAACCCTAAACCCTAATTACCTAATTGGAACCCTTATAGGAATCCTTTTAAAGCGATCCTTTAAGGTATTCTCAAAGTCTCTACTCGATAGAGACCTGACAATTCCGTTATAGGAGTCCTGAAAATCACTGCTGCACGGCATTCTCAAATTCTCAAAGAAACCTCAAACCCTGAATCCTAAACCTGGACCGAAAACTTAAACTTTCCAAAAGAAAAGCCCTCAGCCAATAGCGCGCCTCGAACATCCGCGGCTCCAGGGCTTTCATGCGCGCGAACATCTCCTCCCGGGGTCAGCGTCAGCATTGCTCTTCATGATATACATCCTGCATTACCTTCAGCACCCTAAACTATGGGAATTATGGTATGGGTAACGCAGGATTTAGATCATCCACCGCATGAATTGGCATCCCAGAGACTCCAAAATCCTTTAATTGAGGAATACCTATAGTATAGGCTCCATTGTGCTTCCTTTTTGTGGTTAACCAATTTTATGGTTAGGATCCTATAATAGAGTCTTTTGTTAACCAGAAAAAGGAACTACAATGGAGACTATAGGTAAACCATGTTAGGGTTTCTACTATAGTTTAAGGTATATTCGTTAATTAAGGGATACTGGAGTCTCTGGAATTTTCAATTGTTCCCACCTAAGGGTCTGTGGACCCGAATAGAAATATCTAGGGTATTTGGGCTCACATATCATAGTATTAATGAGTGTCTGTGGGTCGAGTTTGACATGTCTGAATTGGTGTCCAAGGCGTGGCAGACCTTGATTTCCAAGCTCAGTGTCACCAGCGTTGGACTGCAAGCCCTAAACCCTAAACCAAGGTCCATGACCTCTGAATAAACCCTAACCACCCCTGCCCAACACCTCAACCCGACATCACGAAGCTTTGGCTTTCGGGCCCTACCGGTAAAGTCGCTGGACCCCAAAGCACAAAACTTTTCAGAACTATCCAAACAAATCCAAAGTCATGACCGAAGCTTGTCCTATGTGGTCAGTTTATGTTCGACACTTACCCTCGCCTGAGAAGACCCCCGCTGGCAAACCATGTATGGTAGGGGACTGAAACCAAGGAATATTCCTTGAACCATGTAGGTAAGGACATGTTATGAGTGGCCTCTACACTAAAGTATTAAAATTTAGCACCCCTATCAATTCTGAACCACGAGCCCTTTAACCCACACCCCTACACCCTAAACTCTGGTATCAGCCCCATCTGCTTTTTGGATAATCACCCGGGGCCTTGAGCGGCTGTCCAGGCATATGAGGCACCTGAGAAGGGTTTGTCAAAACAGGCAATACAGGGGCCGTAGTAATCGGAATAAGGATTTGGGGTGCATGATAATAGAAATCCACTAAGGGGCCCCAAGGGAAGATTATTGTCAATTCTTTAGGCTTCTGTATCATACTGTAAGACCTCGATGACGGGAAGGTCTTCGGGAGGGCGGGGTCAAGCTCCAAAAGGCCAGGGGTAAATCAAGTTAGTTGCGAAGTCTTCCGAATGCTTCTGTCCCTTGCGGCTGCAATGGATGGGAAGGGAACGCAGGCTAGGGGTTAAGGATTTAAGATGCCGGTGTGTCGCAATGCCGCCTTAACAATCGTTGGTGACGTTGGATAGCTAGACAAGATCGGATCTCGCAGAGCGCCTTGAATCCGATCACGCCCATGCCACGTGGCTACAGCGACAGCTACACACTCAAAATACCAGTGAAACCTGGAATATCATTTCTCAGGGCAGAATATTCAATACATTTGCCATACACGTAACACGACAGTCAAGCTCGCCAAGAATTAGAGCCTCGGTTTGCTGTTCGCAGGCATTTTCCTCCGATGCGAGCTTGGCAAATGCCTATGGTCTGAATCAATACGATGGAAAATCGCCCACAACTGCGTTTTGACATGCTAGTAGATCGACACTCAAGCATGAGGGCATCTACATTCCTATACGTACAAGTAAGCATGCAAGTGCCACCGCACAGACAAATTTCTGGCAATGCACGTTTACGGTGTTGTGTATACATGTGACTCACATGTGATATATATATATATATACAGATACACGCTCTTTTTCCTGCGCGTGCAAGTATACATATACATATATATATATATATACATATATATATGTACGCAAAACAGATATGTCAGTACTCTATACTATATGGATACAAAGGCCCCCAATCAAAAGGTGGTCTCAAGCAAAAGGTGCTTGGCAGAATCTCTCAGAAGAGGCCGAACAGCTTCGAGTCCCCCTCCCTAGACCTGGAGGGATTTCAGTGAGCTGGTAGGTCCTTTAAAGGGATACTATAGGGGATCTATAAGGGTACTGTAGTATAGGGGCCTTAATGATTAGGGTTTAGGGTTTAAGGGGGTAGTTTATGGCTTAGGGCTTAGGGTTGCAAGGTTTGGGGCTTAAGGCCTTAGGGTTTAAGGAGTTGTTTATACCATTGACAGGATTTCAGTGAGCTATTAAAAGGCATCTATCAGGGTAGGGAGCCATAGTATGGGGTTCTAGTATTCTTGCTACTATGGCTTGTGTGTTTTTATCATTGTTGCGATGATTTCTATTTGTTGATGCAGACGTTATTAGTTCAGTAGTTTCGTGGTAGTAGTCGTCGTGGTGGTGGTAAGCAATAAGTAGTAGTGTTGTAGTAGTCGTCGTCGTAGTAGTAGTAGTAGTAGCAGCAGTAGTAGCAGTAGCATTAGCAGCGATACTTGAAGTCTACAACAGGGTTGACATTAGGACCCCAAATCAAAGTAGGCTATGGTAGACCAACGTAGGTCATGGTAGGCTACGGTAGTACGTGCAGGCAGCATTAGTCGATGCCACGGCAGTCATTAGAAGCCCTCGTCATCAGTGCAACAACTGAACCTCGTGGGCTTCAAGTCATCAGTTCCAGATGGTAGAAGCGCCCCAGTTTGTCTACTAATTAATACGTTTCGCGGGCAGAATCCACCAAATCAGGGCCCGAAGATTGCGCCAAGAGGCACAACCTTTTGCAGCTGCTGCGCCGTGCCCTCCCCGAAGGCCTTCGTCACATGCGGCTTTGAGCCCTAAACAGACCGCAGGTTCCACCTTTAAACCCTACTGCAGAGGACTTTTGATTAGAATAGGTTTGGGCACAACTATAACAACAACCCTAGGGAACAATATGGCTTACTATTGAAGCTTCTGCAATAAACTTAAAGCCAAACCCCATAGCATTGGACCCCAATATAGGGGCCTGCCTTAATAAGTAGAATAGTGTTTGGGGGCATCTTATACGTAAAGTGAAATAAGAAACCACCAAATAGCCTTGGTAATTATTAAGGTCCCTATACCATAGAACCCTATTTTTTTATAGATCCCTGATATAACCCTATACAGGACCCTTTAAATTAAGGAGCCACCAAAATAGTGTAGGTATTCTTTTAGTCTCGTACATTCGACTGACGGATCTCCAAAGTCCCGGCCCAGGGGGGAGGAGGAAGGGCGAGATGGGGGACCGAGGCCTGTGGATTCAGGGTGTAGGGTTTTGGGTTTTGGGGCTTTAGGGTATTGGGTTAATGGGCATCTGGAAGTTGCTGCGAGGCTTTTGAGGGTAGTTTGTGAATATAGTATTCCAACTAGTAGGATCCTTATTTTAAGGACCCCAAAATAAGGTACCCGAATGTTCGGAAACTCCCATATTAACATTGGAAGGTCTGGGCCCATAGTAGCATTTCTACTCCTGAAGCAGCCTTCGCATAGGCCGGGCGCTGGAGAAGCTGCAACATGTAGCGCCTGGACGTGTTTACAGCTTAGGGCCTAAGGTTTAGGGTTTAGGGTTTCGTGTTCTTTAAAGCGCCTCTTTTCCAACTCGCAGCTGAAATCCCAGGTCGGGAAGGCAAATGTGGCCTAAGGCTTAGGGTTTAGGGTTGCCAAACCCACAGGTTTGTGCTTTTCGGACTCAAGATTCGGGGTTTAATAAAGTAGCCCGGCTACTTGGAGGTTCATGGGTAGTTATAAGTGGGGTTATAAGTCCCCTAATATGGGTTCTAAGTATAGCTACCCTACTTATAACCTTACTTATATAACTACCCCTAAACGCTATAACCCTATAGATCCCTTTAAAGGAACCGTACTACTTATAACTACCAATGAACCTCCAAGTAGTGAGAACAGGGGAGGACATGGCCTTCGCCAAGAACGTTCCCAACACCAGCGGAGTCCAGAGATTTTGGGGTTTGCCGGGATGTAATACTTGGAATAGGGTTTTGGGGCCCATTATACCACAGTTATATATAGTAAGGAAACCCCAATAGGTAAACATTTAGGCACCTATAGTGCATGCAGCAGGAAAAAGAAGTGTATGATGTCGAACTTGAGATGTTGTGCCAAAGACTTTGGTGGGATCCGGGTTGCTGCCAGGCTTCTGGATGTTTGGCCATCGCGGCAGTGTGTTGATGTCGGGGAAGAAGAGCGGCACCTTGCAAGCCGCACGGCTTTGTCATGGTCTGGGGCAACGACAGTAAAGCTTGCAAGAAGCAGACGGACCATGACGACTACAGATATTGTCGTCTTTATCATGGTCATCACCCTCGTCCTCATGACGATCATTGTCATGGTCAGCATCACCACCATCTCACGATGATCGCAATGCGCCACTAATGATTGCTAGTCTTCATAGCGAAAGCCGAGGCTACGGCCAACACACAGACCTGATACTTTGCGAAGCCTATAATATACCCTAAACCCTGAGCCCCAAACCCTAAACCCCAAAGCCTAAACCGATAGACCCATGACCCACAGAGCCCAATACCCCTTACTTAAGGAATATGGCTTAAATTGTATAGGGCCTCAGATTATGATTTCAGCCATATTCCTTAATTAAGGGGTATTGGGCTCTCTGGGGACCCTACACTCCGAATCTGCGACTGAAAAGCGGCAATGGGAATACTTCTTCGCAGAGGGAGGACCTTGCTGTCAACATAACACCGTGGAGGTTGACAGTATAGGTGCAGATTTCGGTGTTGGGGCCTCGGATTGTAAAAAAACTGACAGGTTCAGGGCCGCAAAACTCCTCTGCTAAGCCCTCCCCTACCCTACCCTACCCTACCCTCCCCTGCCCAGCCCTGCCCTACCCTAGCCCTCCTTACCGAGGCTTAGGCGTAGAGCAAGTAGGAGCCCACAGCCACGTCAGCCACCGAAAAGGCGTCCTCCATGCAAAGATCTCTGATACTTGAACCCAGAGAGCCCAATACCCCTTAATTAAGGAATATGGCTTAAATCATAATCTGAGGCCCTATATATTTTAAGCCAAATTCCTTAATTAAGGGGTATTGGGCTCTGTGGGTTTAGGGGTTAGGATGGAGCGTTTAGAGTATCTATATTTTTGAAACTTTATTGGGACATTCGATTCATAGCACCCCCCTGCCCGCTTAGATGGAGTACAGTAGGTCTCCGAATATTATGGTCCTTGAAACAGGGGGTTTATTGAAAATTAAGGGTCTACATTTTGTTATGTGGTTGCCGCCGTTGTAGGTTTTACTTGTATGCCGAATGGTTAAGAAGCTCTGGGACACTACTCGCAGTAGCCGTCCGTGCTCAACGTAGATTTACAGGCGTTCGAACCTGAAACCTTACGTCCTGAAGACGAATACACTCATCTGACCCGCAGAAAACCTACCTTCTAAGGAACTAGAAAAGGAAATCATACTGAGGACCCCCAACCGTGCAGGTTTTATGCAGAAGCTTTCAGCCGTCGACACGATAGTCATGATACTATGTTATACTATGCTGTATTATGTATACTTTCCTATGACATACGAAATTAAAACCCATCACATTAGTTAAACACTACTACATTTCAGTATGCTACAGTCTGATTTCGAGCCGTCCTCCCCACTGCCGAGCAGAAACTCACGGTCAGCAAGCAAAGCGTCCAGTGTCCTCGCCGGCGGGTTTAAGGTTGAGGGCTTACGGGCTTAGGGGTTTAAGGTTCAGGGCTAAGGGCTTAGGGGTTTAAGGTTGAGGGCTAAGGGCTTAGGGGCTTAAGGTTGAGGGCTAAGGGCTTAGGGGCTTAAGGTTGAGGGCTAAGGGCTTAGGACTTTAGGGCAAGGGATTTTGGGCTAAGGCTTTAGGGCTCAAGCTTTAGGGGTTTGAGGTTCGGATCTGAGGTTGCGTAGTGTACACCCGAAACCCTGCCCCCCCTAAACCGCGTGGTGCATTAGGGGTGGAGGGCTTGTGGGCTTTCAATCGGACTGTTAGGTGAGGGCTCGGGGTCTAATCACTCCACATATGTTCTCTCCGTTGCTCGGATAGGTGCTGCAGGGAACAGAGGATTTCTGTTCTTCTGAGGTTTAAGGTGCATGAAACGGTGTGGCACAGCAGGCTTCACGGTTGTAGGGTTGAAGCTGTTACGGGGCATTTAACAAGCTTGGTTCGAGTTCGGGAGCAAAGGTCCCTCACCTTCAAGCCACAAAGCAGACTTGCTACATCCTGCTACTGTATACAAACCTGAACCCAGAATCATGGCTTCCTCAAAAGGCAGTCTTACCTCGAGCTTGTGAGTGTCAAAGGGCGTTCAAGCTGCTGGGCGCGGTTCTTGGAGACATGGGGGCTTCGTTCACCGACTCGGCCGCTAGCAGGATAGACCCTAAGCGCGGTTTAGGGATTGGCAGGGTCGTGCACGGAAACCCCAAAGCCTAAACCCGACATCCCCCAACCCAAAAAAAAATCCCGGATTAACAAACCCCAGACCCCAAACCCAACTTTCCACAAAACGCCCAGAAAATCAGCGCTTTCCTCAAAGCCGGCGGGTCGTCGGCAAGGCCTGTGCCTAGCACTCGGCCATTACCATCCTCCTGCGACGGCTTGATCCGTTCTAATGTAGGAACCTGATTAAGAATCCTTGGGCCTTTATTCGGGTTCCTTATATGAAATCTACTATTTTGGGGATATACGCCCCGGGTTTCTTAATCAGGCTCCTACGTTAGACTTCCTCAACCCCTTCAAAACCCTAAACCGCTGAACCTACGACCCCCATGCACGGATCCCTACCTTGCTGGGGCTTCACTTTCATTAGAAGGATTCATATATGGGTTTATATTGAATGCACCTATATAGCCGCATACATTGGCCTTAAAGAAGGGCTCAAGCATAGGCTATACCTTTATAGGGTCCCTTTAAAGAATCATAAGCGCTGTATATGAGGGGCTGTTTTCCTTTGAATAGGGTTCTTAGGGATCCTCATGATGGTTTCCTTATGGACCTGGAAGTCCTGAAAAAGAGTCGGTTCTTGGGGGTTAACGTACACCCTAAACCCCAAACCAGACAAGCAAAGGCCAGACTTCTGAATCCTAAGAGCCTCCACCCCCGAACTCGACACCCCTAAGCATCACAGGACGCTTCTGGCAAGCAAGCGAATCGCACACATTGCTTTTCGATAGATGGACAGGCAATAGAAAGAAGGATAGATAGACTGGCAGACGGACAGAATCAATGGATGGATGGATGGATGGATGGATGGATGATGGATGGATGGATAGATGGATGCAGCAATAGAGCCCTAAATCTAAACCCGAAACCCAGATAAATAGTTGAATAGAGACAGTACAGCGGCCATAATAATTAGAATGGGGTTTGGAGGGCACATTAGCTATAATCATAACTACTATACCCCCCCCCTTAGAACCATAATAAAATCAATATTTGTTCAATATCCTCTTGGGTTTTATACAAACAAAACTAATTCCTAAGGAGACTGCAGACTCTAGGCCCCATGCTAGAGCGGGTCCTTGAAGCAGATGGGGTCCAAGCTCGCGTTGGCCCAAACAACCCACTTCCCGGCTTCCGCACCTGGTTCTGTAAACAAGGGGGTACCTTATATACTTAGGTTGTTATTTTGGTGTTTAGGGTTTAGGGTTTAGGGGAAGTAAGAGTTCAGGGCCTAGGGACCTCATCTTAAAAAATTCAACAAGAGGGCTACCTTACTTAGGGTTTGGGGGTTTAGGGACCATCTTTTGGGGATACTTTGAACAAGGGGCTAGTTACCGCTTTGGGGGGTTCTTTAAACAAGGGGCGACCTGATTGATGGCTGCTTCTATTTAAGATCCTCCCATCGAAAACCATCTGGGTTTCTCAAGAATTTACAGGGTGTTCAAGGGTCTTGGGCTTCATGGACGGATTCCTTTCGGTTTTGCAGCCAAAGGTCAAGGTAGGTTTCCGGATGCTTAGGCATTCGCTCCGGCGAGAAGTAGGCTAAGCTGGGATGCTGTATGTAGGTTTACCTGGTTTCAGGGTTGGTTTGCCGCAGATTGAAGTTCTCGGGTATAGGATACCTTGGCTGATTCAGTCAGGTGTTGGTCAAGGTTACGGTGTCGCCCAAGCTTGTTCGAAGGTAGTAGGATGTAGGGTAGGTTAGGTACGGTTAAGCCCGAGTTAGTTTAGGTTAGGCTACTTGGAGGGGCAGGGGACTTAGCAAGTCGTTTATATTATATGTAGGGTTATAATTGGTGTAACGGTAGCTCCATTTAGGGTACTTATAACTCTACCGATAATCTGCTTACTAAGTCCCCTGCCCCTCCAAGCAAGCTTGGTTGGTATATGATAGCTTTAGACCAGACTAGGTTAGGTTAGCCTAGGTTTGATTAGGTTTAGGTTAGATTAGGCAATGTAGATTAGGATGCTAAAGGGTAGCTGGTAGCTTTGGGTCAGGTTGGGTTAGGTTGGGCTAGATTGATCTTCGGAAAGCTTCAGCTTAGGTTAGATAGTGATCGCAGAGATTTGTCAGGGTAGGTTGACTTAGATGGAAGGTCTAGGATACCATGGCTTCGGATAGGGTGGGTCCGGTTTGGGTTGGAGTTGGTTGCAACGTGCATTCAGGGCCGGTTGATTCCCTACACCCTAAACCCTAAACCCCTAAAGGTTAAGGTTTCGGGCCCAATTGGAAGCCTGCCCCAGCCAGGCGAGGGCAAATCTATCAGGAGGTGCCTGATCCACATGCAAGGTTGGCTTCCAGATCGGGAAGGTGGAGGCTCTCCTGATCTGGCCACTGTCCCTGCGGCGATTCGTTTAACTCAGAGGCGCAGAAGCTGTCCGGCATGTATTCCATGTGGGTAGGACGGCTGGCGACCCAGACCTTCCAAAATCCCTTAATTAAGGAATATACCTTAAATTATACTAGGATCCCAAATATGAATTGAGGTATATTCCTTAATTAAGGGATTTTGGAAGGTCTGGGGACTTTAGCTAAGGCGGAGCTGGAGGGAGCGCAGGATCTCCAAGTCGGGGACCGCTTTGCCCTCCTCCTATCGCAAGGGCTCCAGGAGGAAGTGGGAGCTTCCGAAAATAGGGGAACCTAATATAGTACCTTAAATAGTAGGATCCCTACTATAAGGACCCGAAAATAGGGTACCCCTAATTTTCGGAAACGCTCAACCCTAAACCCTGTATAGAACCCTCATAGATCCCTTAAAGGAACCCTTAAAGGAACCCTAATAAGGTACCCCGAATTTTCGGAATCTCTAATCTAAACCCTAAACCCTTTATAGAACCCTTATAGTACCCTAATAGTAACCCTTTACAGGGACCCTAAGGTACCCCTAATATTCGGAAACTCCCAAGTCGAGAAATCTCTGGTGGCAGCTCTGCAGGCGCTTCTGCCTTGTCAGCTGGCTGAGGGTTTAGGGTTTAGGGACATAAAGGTTTAGGAATTACCTGGGAATCCCAAAACCTACCGTTTTAAGGGGTCGACCCTCTAATTAAGGGGTCATAACCCACTCTTTTCTAGGGTTTGGGGTTACAGGTAAGCTTCAGAGCCTAAACCCAGAAACCCGCGCCGTCTCTCGGATTCGGGGGCTAGAGAGGCCTGAATTGAGTACTACTACCCCCGTGGTGCTCATAGAAACATATATACTACACTAATACCCCAGAGCTTGAGTGAAAATACTAAGGTCTTGTATGAAAGTCTGAATCCCAAGCCTCGAGCAAACCCAAACCCAAAACCTCTGGGGTTTGAGCTTAGGGCTCGGAATTCTCGGGTTTAGGGTTATTAGGGTTCCCGAAACATCCTCTAAGCTAAAGATTCAACCCCTGCAAGCCCAGAGCCCTGGAACCCAACATGCTTGAATCCAAGGGTAAAAGGAGGGACCCTTAATAAGGACCACAAGGTATATACCCTTTATATAGCCCATTATAGGGTAGGGGTCCCCATTAAGGATCCCTCCTTCCCCCCTTTGATTGAAGCCTCCAAAGGCACCATCGGGCTATCGTTTGGGGCATCTTCTGGGTTTCAGGATTCAGTTGGGTGTTGGATCCGTGCAACTTACGTTGTGCTACCGCTTCAGTCAACCAAACCCTAAACCCTAAACCCTAAACTCTAAACCCCAAACCCTAAACTCTAAACTCTAAGCCCTTATAAGCCCTAAATCCCACTTGGTCCCCAACGCTTTTCCGGAGTGTCGAGGCCACCGTACTTGTCCTAGCACGGCACTTCGGCACTTCGGGCTTTATCTGTTCATCTACGTGCTTTTGCCTTTCTTACGCTAAGGCTCTAAGGACTCACATCTTAAGGCTTTTGGGCCTGAAGACCATATTAAAAAAGGCTTTTGAGCCATGTTGAGCCTTCGGGTTAGCCTTTGCTCCCATAGGCTTGGGGTGTGCGAAGGAAGACAAGCTTGCGCCGTCTCCAGCGGCTCCAGATCATAGGTTCGGAACTTTGGGCCCTGTATGACCCAGCATTGCACGGAGGGGGTCCTACTTTCGTGCCGCCTACGAAGGCCCGACAGCAAGAGCAACACTCGCCAGTCGTGAAGCATAGATCACTAAACCAATCGGGCTCAAAACACTCTGTATAGATCAAAGATGCTCATAAGTTGCAAGCAGGATCCAGTCTCATCGGCAGCAGCAGTACCACCACCCTTATAGTAACCCTTTAAAGGAACCCCCAAAATAGTATAGGCACTTATTGAGGCCCCTATATTATAGTCACTCGAAAAACCAGCAACATCTCCTCGCCGTCACGATCGTCAAAGCATCAATGCCAACATCAGCACACTTGGGAGTTTCCGAAATTAGGGGTACCTGTTTTGTGGGGTCCTTAAAACAAGGATCCTACTATTTAGGGTACTAGATTAGGGTCCCCTATATTCGGAAACCCCCACTTGCTACCAGACAACACCGCTTTTGTCACTCCCCTCAAAGAAGCTGAGACAAGGTCTGCCAAGTACATCAGGATGGCACCGGACTCGAAAACCTCGCACGGGAACGCTCTCTATTGCGAAGGGGGGTTTGGAAGCTGAGGGTTTGGAAGTTTTAGGGCTTCGGGTTTAGAGCTTGGGTTTCGGTTTAGGACTTACCGTTGGGAAGGATGGAGATGGTACTGGCAACCTTTAGGGATTTGTACTTCAGGTGCCGGGGCATGGCTTGCACATCTTGCGAAGAGCTCAGCCCGTCAGGCTCGTTTCTACTAAGGCTTTGTGATAAAAGCGGTCCGAATGCACACTAACAGCATCGAACCACAGCTGCTAGTACCACGACATCTATAGACGACGTCCCGACGCCTGACAGCCCGAAAGTCCGCAGCAACCGGCTCTTAAGCCCGAAAGGGTCCTATGTACCGACATAATAGAATGTATATATAGGATATACGGTTTCCATATTAGGAATTACTATCATGGCCTAGGAAAGTATCGCCCAGAACACTACCTGGGACCCTTTCGGATCGCTTTCAGCCACAAGCGCGAAGGACGCGCGCGCCTTGACAGTCCCATCTTGGAGCGCAGGAATCTTTCCTCGGTGCTCTTGAAGGATCCGGGGACTTAGTAAGTTAGGTTATAAGTACCTTACTTGGGGTCATAAGTAATCATGAGTTATTAGTTCCCTTAATAATTGTAACCCTAATTACTGGCTCCCATGATCCTTTTAGTGCACTTCAGCTGCAAGGACGCGAAGTCTCAGTTGTTCTGCCCAGGCTTTGAAGGAGTCTGGGGAGCAGTTTCGAACAAAACTTCTACTAGACTTATGACACTTTGACTGAAGCTCTGGGGTTTTCAGGGATGGCGGCTCGGGGTTGGAGGCTTCTTAGCGGAATTACGGGAATTTGGGAGTTGAGTGTATGTCAGGCCTTTGCTGCGAGCTCGTTAGCCATTTCTTGTTCCCAATCCCCAACATGTAAACGGTTAGGCGCGACAACAATCGAAAAGACACCATAGAGTCCAGCCTATCTTCGCGCACTTACCGGAGAGAAAACCGTCCCAAAGCCAAAACAGAAACACAGACCCTGAATAGATCCCATCAAGCTCGCCACAAGTGAGCTCAGGAAACAAGGGACACAGTCGTACATAGACCCCCAACAGCGGTAGAATCATCCTTACCTTCCTATAGGGTCCCGATCCCAAGACATCACCAGAAAGAGCTAAGCCTCCGAAGGGATGCGGATACTCCGAGGAGGTGCGATCCACTTGCGCTGCGGGGACCATTTCGAACTCCTGTCCTGTGTCGCGAAATTCTGGGATCCCTACTTGGAGGTTCATGGGTAGTTATAGGTGGGGTTAGATTCCCCTGATGTCTATAGGTATAGCTACCCTACTTATAACTCTACTCATACTTGCCCATGATCCTCCAAGTGCAGGAAGCGGTTTAGGGTTTAGGGTTTCTCTAGTACGTACTTGGACCATCATCTCCCTATAAGGACGGGTTTTGCAAGTTGTAGTGGGGTGGGGATTGGGGGTTTACGGCTCAGAACTTTACGATTGCGGTTGGAGGGTGTAGGTTGTAGGGTTCAGGGTTGTAGAGCGTTAGGATGTTTTATGATCTTGTGCTTAGAGCGAGTTTGTAGGGGATTTGACGTGATAAGATTCCAAAATCCTGAAGCCATTTCCAAACAGCCTCAGTCTTCTTCCGAAACTGTCGGCCCCTTGTTGGCACCCTGCAGCGGAAGGAAGTACTCCGAAAACCTACGTTTTATCAAACAGCCAAACCATCATCTGAATCCCACACGATGAATACTCTGAAACCGTGAAGAGTAGATACCGACAGCATCCTTGTAACCACCCTGCTGCTGCCCGAGCCCTTGAAGGGGCCCTTTGAACTAAAGAAGCTCTGACAGGTCCGTCATAGAGAACACTCCAAGGAAGCCTCATGAGAAGCCTCGAATCCCTGCATATATCTCCAAACCCCAAACACTAAACCCGAAGCCCTAAACCCTAAGCCCTGAACGCTAAACTGGACACATCTAGGCTTACATCTTACACTCCCAGGCTCGGGCCATATGGTTTTCGTATAAGGATACTTTATATATCATACAGTATATTGTAGAAACCCTACAGACACCCTTATAGATCCTTTTAAGGAACCCTAAAACTCTAACCCCCAAAACCCTAAACCCCTAAACCCTGAACCCCAGCTCGGGCCTATCTCATATAGTACCCTTAATTGTAGAAGCCCTATAGAAAACCCCTTATAGATCCCTTTCAAGGATCCCCAAAACGTCCCCAGGCTCGCCCTAAACCCTAAACCCTCGGGCCTATCTCATGGAGGTACCAGTTCACCAGAGGAGATCTGCTTCCCTGGCTCCCGAAGAGGACCGGCCTCACGGACTTTTGGGGGGGATGAGGGGGCCAAGGGTTTAGGGTCTAGGGTATGATTAAGGCATAGGGGTTTAGGGTTCAGGGTTTATGTAGGGCTCAGAGTTTAGGGTTTTGGGTCCAGGCTTCAGGGTTTGGGTCTTAGAAAAGCGGGGTTCGTGCGCTGAGAGCAGTGTCTGGGCTGTGTGGCTTGCTCTTTGCGGCTCTTGTTCATGCTACTGTTACGGCGAGCCGTCCGTGAGTGCTCTCGCTAATTGCTTACTGCACTGCATTCCTTTGATATAGGCGACATTATGCTTTCCATGATGGCAGTGGTCCCTCTTTACATACACTATCGCCTTCGCTCCAGTGCCGTCATGTGATTTGCTGCTCCGGTCATCGCTCCCAGCCCAGCCTGTCATTTGTTGAGCAGCCCTGCGCTCCAAATTGCCGAAAGTCAGAGTCGGAACATGGATAGAGGGTGCATCGTTCCGGTAGTCTCGTCAAAGACAGACCAACACGCACAAACAAGCCTTAGACGCCCTGAAACACGGCACTGAAACCCTGAAAAATCACACTGAAGAACACCTAAGAACCTTTAAACACCTCCAAAACCCCGGCCAACTAAAGCCTGAAGCAGGTTCGGGTCTCCTGTAAATCGCCCAACTTTCAAAAACCTGAAGTCTGAATCTTGCTAACGTTTTGCGCCAGGCAGCCCTGCGCTTCGCATCACCCTGTGGCTGCGCCGTTTTCGGAAGACGGCCTTGCAAGATAACGGAGTTTGGGGGTTTTAGGGTCTAGGCTTTTAGGGTAGTCTAGGGGTTAAGCCAAACTTCTGGGTTCAGGGGTCTAGGATTTAGAATTCTAGGGTGTTGGGATATGGGATCCAGAGCTGCGTCTTGCAGTGCTTTGCAGACATCCCTGCGGTTGCTTTTACTTTCCGCTGTGGGATCGAGATGACGAGTTCTGGCTGCAGTTTGTGAGGATTAGCGCGTGGGATTGCTGCCAGGTGCCCCAATCTGAAATGGGAAAGTGCAACCGTCTTTCTGTCCATCTCAACTTCTCTACAGTTAGTATTTTGTTACGTAAGTTGCATATCTCCGGTTGGACCCAAAGTCCGAACGTATGTTCTGATAGTCTCCCCAGCACGAAAAACATCGTTTTACTAAAGTCACCGCACTGTTAAGGAGCCTTGCGTACACTTTCACCAAACCCTCCAGAGACAGGCCAGCAAACAGGGCTTAGTGGTCGTATGCTCTTCATCACGGCATTCTGGCAAAGATGACCGGTTTAATGACCGCTATTACGGTTGCCGGTTGTTGATTATATCCTTGTTGTTGCAGCCGCTAGGGGATCCTAAACTAGTACCCTAAATAATAGGATCCTTACTCTAAAGACCCCAAAGAAGGTACCCCTGATTTTCGAAACCTCTCAAAATTCCGTAAACTCTAAACCCTGGAGATTCCTTTTCTTAACCCTTTAGAGGAACCCTACTTGGAGGGTCGGGGGACTTAGTAAGTAGGTAGTAAGTAGACTTATAAGTACCCTAAAAGGGACCCTAACTGGGGTTATGGTACTTAGAAGTCCTTAAAATAACCAGCTACTAAGTCCCCCGACCCTCCAAGTAAGGTACCCCCGGATGGTCGGAAACTCCCAAGTCAGGCGCGAGGATGCCTGCGCTCCAACCAGAGCGGCGGCCACTGCACCGAGTCCAAAGGCATCCGAAACTGGGACAGGGGCCTTAATAACGAATAAGGTGTTGGGGTTTAGGGTTTAGGAGTTTAGGAGTTTGGGAGTTTAGGAGTTTAGGGTTTAGGTTTTGGGTATATTGTACTATAGGGCTCGTAGGCTTCTCTAGGAACTATGATAAGCGAAGACAGGAGATATAAAATGCTATCCAGACCCGCGTGAGTGCGGGCGTTTGCATGCCTGGGCCTGAACCGCCCGAAGCCGAAATCCGACAAAAAGCATTATAAGTAGCTTTAATGAAGCTACCTATAGTTACAGTCTCCGTTATAGTTCCTTTCTTGGGATACTTGCTATAGGATCCTACATATGAAAACTGTCTATAAGCAAAAACGGAACACCAATGGAGACTGCAGGTACCGTCTCAGCCTAAACCCATCAATCCTACAAGTACATACTACCTCCGACAGATTATGGGCTGAGAGATGTGTTTCATAGGGTCCACGTGCCAATATAGCAGGTACTTCGTACCCTACAAGACCTTCGTGGAGTGTGTGAGTGGCTTTGAAGGCACTCTATGCTGAGGCCTTGTTGCTTTGGCTGGTGGCCTGCGTGGCTCCAGTGGGGGCACGGACTTCAAAATCTGGAAGCTCAACAAAGGCCGAATGTCCTGCAGCCTGCCATGCTTCGTAGATAACCTACGTAAACCTTACCAAACCCCAACTCGAACGTCCGAAAAGCTAGGTTTCAGTTTTGCGCTCCTTTTCTCCAAGCCCGAAGGTCCGAAGAGGCTGTAAAGCTAGGGTTTAGGGTTTTAGGGTTTTAGGGTTTGCGGTTTACGGGCCTCCAAACCCCAAATCCAAAACCCCCAACCCTGAACCCCAAACCTTGGAACTCCAAACCCGAAAGCCACCTGTGCCGAGCGCGGCGTTGTGTGGATTCCTCCGCAGGACCTCTGCCACGGCACCGGGCCGTGTCGAAGCCAGGAGAAAGGCAGGCCTGGTTTAGGGTTCTATAGTTAGACTAGGGCTTTGGGGCCATTTACTACCCAAAATAGTAGCCAGTTAAGGCTTAAGGATTATGGTTTTAAGGCTTGGGCTTTGGCCTGAGAGTTTCTGGCCCGAGCTGGAACTTGTCTTCGAATGTGTCTTCGGTTTATGTTAGAAGCAGATTGTCCGCATGATCAGCAGCAGGAGCAACCACTCAGCAACCAACTCGCCAGCATGTAACACCTCTGGTGCCCAAGTGTAGACCCAGCACCCTATAATTAAACCCGAAGCCCGCAACCCCAAACTGAACCCTCAGCCAAGCCAGGCCAAGCTCCACATACAGGGGAAGAGCCAAAGCACGTCCAACAGCGCAGGACTCAGTGCCAATCCACCTTAAACCCCGTAAACCCTGCAAATTGCCTGGAAAACCCAGAGTATATGGGGGTCTCCGGAAAATAGCTAGACCCTAATGTTGTACCTGGATAGTAGGATCCTTATTACAAAGACCCCAAATAAGGCACCCCTAATTTTCGGAAACTCCCATACAGACCCTAGGCGCTACGAAACCTAAACCCTAAAGCTTGGACGGACGTTTCTTCAGAGGTGGGGGTCCTTCCTCGGTTTCCATATATGAGTCCTTCAAGCTGTAGGTTACTTGGGGTTAAGGAACTCAGACACTCCAAGACCCCGTAATAAATTATCGTTCAGGGTCTCGGGTTCATCAGTTCTGCAGTAGGAGCCCTAAGATTCAGGAAAGGGTTGTGCCCAGACCCCGCGACTACCCTCTGTTACACCCTAAATACCCACAACTACGGACCATTAAGGGCTCTATTCAAGGGCACTTGAAGCTTCCCTTGCCCAGGCACTCACGAACCTCCGACCTAATAGAGCCCTTACCCTAAGGGTCCATGTACTCATATAGTATATACATTGGCCCTAAATTACTCCCTATATAGGTACATTGGGCCCAAAGTATATGCTATATGGGAGGAACCCTAAGAGTAAAGGGTTGTGGAGCGGGCCTGAGTTCCCAGGCGGCCAAGGAAGCGGCGGCCAGCAGAAGAGCGCGGGTGGTATTCATGGCTGCTGTCGATGCCGGAACTTTCCCGTGAACATATAAACCCTGGAACCACAGTGAACGTCTGTGGATGCAGTTCCACGCGGTAAACGTGTATCGGATCTACAAACTAACCTGCGCAAACATGGTGGTCAAGTTTCCCAAACCCTAGTCCAGTGAATCCTTCCAAGCTACCACTAGCTGATGATTATCATTAGCTGGTTATAGCAGGTCACTGAACATGAGGCTATAAACCAGAGCTGTTTGAATGCGGCGCGACAAGCTGACAATTTCCGAATGGGGGTGCGGGTTTAGGGGCCTGCGTAGTTAAAACTGTTTTGTTTCGTTTTTGGGGTGTAACATGGAAAATGATACAAACACTCTAAGAATGATGCTATTCTGAAGTGTTCAGACCTCTATATTGGAGCAGCATACTATTAGTATCAAGGTCATTGTCCTGTCCTGAAACAATGTCATACCTTTGTTTCTTGCCTCCTCTTCTTCATTGCCGGATAGCCACAAATCTTCTCTCCAACTAGAGTATACCGTTCAGGGTCCAGGTAGATGCCGAACTCATGAACCTAAAGCTCCACACTCCAGATCCACAAATCGGGCACTCCGCGCCTATAAAGGGTAACATGAACTCCACCTGTACCTGTAACATCCTAGGAAAGACTATGACCGCATTACCTATAGTCTCCGTTGTACTTTTTTTCTGGGTTACCATATCGGACACAGGATGCTGAGCATCACACTGGATAAAGCATGAAAGTGGTAAAGAGGAGCTACAACCAATGGAGACTGGAGGACGCACAATCTCTTAAACCCGGGACCGTTCTAAGAACCCTCCCTCGAAATCTCTGTGCGCAGCACCCTAAGCCCTATAAACCCGAAAGCCTAATCTCCGGTTTAGGGATCTGGGTTTAGGGTTTCGGGTTTAGGGTGTAGGGAGTGCAACACCTTAAATCTTCAACCCTCAGCTCTAAACCCCTTAACTCTAAACCCTCCTAAATCCTCAACCCTAACCCCTCAACCCTAAAGCCTAAATCCTAAACCCTCAACCCTAAACCCCTCAACCCACCATCCGAAATCCTAAACCCTAGGTCTCCGAGTACATCAATTAGGGTAACTATACTTAACGGTTTAGGGTTTAGGGTTTAGGGTTTAGGGTTTGCTAAGTCCCATGATCCTCCAAGTAGTCTCCGAGTGCAGCACCTTCAGTAGCTCCTGCACATTTGCTGGCAGCCGCTTCGGGTTCCACTCCCGCGGCCTCAGAGTTGAACAGACCTTCCAAAGCCCCAAACCCTTAACTTAGGGTTACCGCTTTTGGGGGTTTAAGGGTTTAGGGGATAAGGGTTTAAGGCTTAGGGTTTAAGGGAACCCAAAACCCTTAACTTAGAATTACGAGTTTGGGGATTTATGGGTTTATGCAAGCAGTCACTGCTGACGATCCGTGCAAGATGCACGCAGGTTTATGGGTTTAGGCTTTACTGTAGGGGTTTAGGGTTTAGGGTTTAAGGGTTCAGTGGGGCTTAGGGGTTTAAGGGTCTAGGGGTTAGGGTTTCAGGGTTGAGGGACCTGGGAATATGTCTTAAAATAAAGGAGCGCAGCCTACTACTTTGTGGGATTTGGAGAAACAGGTATACCTTAAGTCGAGCCATAAATTTAAAGTATGTTCCTTGGGAGTACCCGAAGATGCGGGACCCTGATACAGTACCCTACATGGGAGGATCCCGATGATAAAGACCCCCCAAATCAGGTACCCCAAAATTTCGGAGACTCTAAACCCTAAAAACTTTATAGAACCCTTATAGTACCCTTATCGTAACCCGTTAAAGGAACCCCAAGATACTTATTTTCGGAAACTCCCATTTAAGAGGTCTTGTGGAAGGCCTGGGTTCGCCAGCGTTGAGACTTCAGAAAGCTGGAACATGCACCAAGGGTCCATGTGGGGGTTTCCGACAATAGGGGACCCAAATATAGTACCCTAAATAGTAGGATCCTTACTACAAGGACCCCAAAATAGGGTACCCCTAGTTTTCGGAAACTCCCATATAGTATATACATTGGCCCTAAAGTACTCCCTATATCGGTACATTGGCCCCAAAGTATATGCTATATGGGTACATGGACCCTTAGGGGCAAGAAGGACAGCTGGGGCATGAGGCTCTATGTACCCATATGGGTGGCTGTCAAAATTAGGGTCCATTTTTGGGCCCTTATTATAGTACGGCACCTACTATTTAAGGTACCCAAAAAGGGACCCTATTTTTGACAACTACCCATACTGTATGTACTTAGGCCTTTAAGGGGTGCCCATATAGGTACTTAAAGCCCTAAGTATATACTATGTAGGTACATGCAGCCTTAGGGTGGGGCATGAGGAAAGGATGTTTAGGGTTTCGGGCTAGTTAGAGCTTATATAGGGCGGAGGGGTCTGAGGTTGCAGAGCTCTTTTTGGATTTAGAGAGTTTATCGGAAGGCTGCAGATTCAGCATTTGTTGCTTCGGCTTGCGGCTTCTTGCCACGATGGCAATGCATAACCGAAGAGCCATGGCCCTGAATGCCCTGGTGCTTTCTATACCCCAAGGGTCCAATGGATCCAATAACAAGGTATCTGGGTTTAGGAAAATAGTTATGTAGGTTACTGTTTCGGGGAGTATATGGTAATTAGGCAATTGAACCCCTAGGGATCAATTGATGATACACGTTCGGCCGAGCATGAACACGCAAAAGCATATCACTGCTGATTGCCCACTTGGGTTTGCACTACAACAAACCATGGCTCACCACGGAACCCCTGGACCTAATTACCTGGACCCCAAAAGTATGTAGAATAACAGCCTTTTATAGGTTTTGGGCCATTATTTTGCCTACTTTTAAGGGTCTAGATAGTTTTCAAACGTGTTAAGGGTGGAGGTGCCAGGGCTTGCACTAGTGAGCTATTGTTGCGGTCTGCTCAATTGGGTTCTGCCATGAGTTGAGCTTCAGTGTCGTGCAACATCCGGTGTCAAATCGACTCTACTAGAGGTCAGGATTTCTGTTACAGCCCCGTTGCCTGGCTTGGATTGGATTGATATAGAGGCCTTATAGTTGGAATAGGTTTTCGGGGCCATTATACTATAACTATAGTAAGGAACCCCCCAAAAAATAGTATAGGCAACTGCTACAGTAAAGCATCCGCAATCGCGATTTGCTCGCACTACCCCGACCTTATGAGCTCTGTTAGTCTAAGGGTCCATGTACCCAAGTGGCATATACTTTGGCCCCAAAATACCTATGTAGGGACTACTTTAAGGCCAATGTATATACATATGAGTACATGGACCCTTAGGGGTTATTCAGACCACGAAGTCCCCTGTCATCCACTTCCGAGGATGCCGCGGGAGCTCCCCGTCCCAGAACTTCTGCCCGGCGTATTCGATGGACTCCTCTTTGTCCTCAGGATAACAACACGAAAATGAGGCGAAATCGAAGGTTGAGGAAGTTTCGGGGCTCGGGGATTGGGGTTTGGGATCCTTGAGTGTTGGGGGTTAAGGCTCGGCTATAGGATCGCTAAAACCGCCTGTTTGACCCCAAGGCATTGGATGATTTGCTGTTAGAACACACCCGATACCCAATAATCCCCCAAGGCTTAATGGAAGAGCCTCAACGATCTAAACCATAGACCTAAAGTCCTGCCAACTTCAGATGCCGATGCCTCAAAACCCAAGAGCATCATGGACGACGCTGCAAAACATGCTGAACTCGAAACCGTAGACCCTACCCCCTATTTCCAAGGCATACTATAGGGGCCTTAATAATTCGAACAGGGTTTTGGGAGCCCTTTATACTATGACTATTAAAAGGAACCCCTAAAATAGTATTAGTAATTATTTAGGCCCCTATATTACATCCTGAATTCCAGATTCGGCAGTGCAAGTCTGAAGGCGTATCTTCAGATTCCCGCCGAACTGTGCGATGTGGGTAGTTGTCAAAACTATGGTCCCTTTTTAGGTACCCTAAATATTAGGTGCCGTATTATAATCGGGACCCCAAAAAGGACAATAATTTTGACAACCACCCATGTGTTTAGCCGTTGGAGGGTCGTCCTGCCCCCGAGGGGTTTAAGTTCTGCTTGTCATAGGAGCCTCGGTCCTTCCGAGATAAAAAGGCCAATAATAAACCCCAAGGGTCCAAGTACCCAATAATCATATACTCTCCAAAATCCTAACCTACATAACTACTATTCTAAAACCGAGTACATAATTATTGGGTCCTTTGGACCCCTGGGGAAAAGGATCAAAGCCCCATTCCTTGAAGCTCTTGGGTTTTCGGGACGTTTAGGACTACGTGGACCCTCATTCCTTGAAGTTCTTCGGTTGTGCGGGACGTTTCGAACTACTTGGACCCTCACTGACCCAAAACCCCAAAATCCTAAACCTCCGAATACCTGAACCGCGGAGTATAAGTTTCCGACGCCATCCCGGATCGTGGCGACGTTGTCTACGCCAAGGGTGAACTCCCCTGGCCTGCGATATTCGGCTTTAAAAGTTCAATGGGTGGTTGTCAAAATTAGGGTCCCGTTTTCGTGGTTAATATAATACGGCACCTATTGTTTAGGGTAATTACCCAAAAAGGGGCCCTAATTTTGACAACCGCCCAAATATGCGTTTGTAGTGTCGGGCTTTATAAGGTTAAGGGCCTAAACCTCCCATACTAGTCTTTATAGTAACCCTAAAAGGGAACCCCCTTAATGATACTGTACGGGCCTTAATAATTAAAACAAGGTTTTAGGGTTCTGTTTATATGTAATTATGCTATCATATGACTCCCAAACCCTATTCTAATCATTAATGAAGGTTCGAGCTGCTTTGTCAGGCTTGCTGGGAGAGTTCTTACCCTAAGCCCTACACCCCTAAACCCTAAACCTATCTAACCCTAGACCCTAAACCCCTAAACCCCTACACCCCTAAACCCCTAAACCCCCTAAACCCCGAAACCCCTAAACCCCTAAGCCCTCTTTGCATTTCCCGGGGCAGTCG